AAATAGACACAGTTAGCTCCAGCCACCTGTGGAGGACCCACATCCTCAGCAGAGGAAAAGAGCCAAGACTCAGAGAAAACACCAGCTAATCAGGTTTGCGATTGACTTTTATATTGTGTTAAAGTTGGTGGACTCAACCATTTCAAAACTCCCTGTTTACCTACGGCCTGCTTTGTCCTCCAAAACAATTAACTTTGTATTCTTTCTGTGTCTGAGGCAGAAAACTCAAAGTGCCAGTATTGGGAGTGTTTTTGCTTTGGGAACTTCTGGTCCGTGGACAGTTGCTTCAGATTCTTCTGTGTTATCTTTTCAGAGCTGTGGGTACTATGGAACGGGGTGGGGGTGGTAATTGGAGCTCAAGAGGTTTCATCAATGGCTAACATCTTTAGAAGGACGCATGGTAGACTATCCTTGTCTTAATTTCTCTTTCCTTGTATGAAACCAGCCTCTGGCTTGCTACCACGCTGCCATGCCCATGTGCAGTTTTCTTTTAGAAAAAGGTCATGTCCAAGTCAAGCATGTAAAGTTGGGATCAATTCTGATATTAACAGTTATAGGTAGTAAGTGAGGAGTACTTGCAGCATGCCAGGCTTAGTCTTAAGAAGTTTGCATGCACTCTCTCGATGTTTCCTAATGAGCAATGCATGAACAACTGGCTTTGCAAGCATCAAGGGTGCCACTAAAAGTGCAGACTTCTAGGATCCATTCTCAACCTACAGGAGGAGCATCTTGTGGTGGAAGTCAGGTGTCTGCCGGTGGAACAAACACCTTCTATAATTCTGATGTGCATGAAATTCAAGAGCTGCTGTATTATTTTATAATGTACATGGAACTCAAGTGCAGTCTGCTCTTCTACTCCCCTGATTTCTGTGCTTAAATTCTTATGGCAAAAAAAAAAGGAAAAAAAAGAAAACCCTGTGGACTGAGACACATGGAGCAACCTATGCCTCTTTTAGTTGCTGGGGATCACAAAGGTGTCTCCATTGCCGATCTGCTTTTGAGGCACCATTTACCTCTATTGTGGGAGGGTTAGGTAAATGAGAAGCCTTGTCTTCATCGATGGTGGCCTGTGCTCTGGATATAGAGAGGGAAGACCCAGAGTCTGCAGAGGCAGGGCTGGTGTGAGCAGCTGTGCGGTTTGTAAGTGGTGGCATTGCACAGAGGAGTGAAAACTTGGCATTCCCCTTGGCCCAGATCTCTGCATATAGGGCCAGCCACTCTTGAGAGGAGAAGGCAGTGGGTGTGCTCGTGGGGTTCCCAGGACTGGGAAAGCCCTGTCTGCCTTCTGTGTGTCTTGACCGTCATGCTCCAAGGGGCTTGAAATATTCCATGTGGTTGTTTCTTTGGTTCTCAGCTTTATTTCTAGAAAGCTCTTATTCAAACAGAGTGGCACTTGGAAGATAACAGAAATATGTAATCTTACTGGCACCAACTGTTTTAATCTGGCTGCTCTGGGGATGGCACACAAAACAACTTTTTTTTTTTGATGGGAGCAGAGGAGGGTAAGCTCCTTTGTGGAGGAAGCCAGGGAGATTGGGAAAACTTGTTTTTTGGAGGGAAGGAGAGAGCAGAGGTGAAGTGGGAGGGGGCCTAGAGACCAACTGGAACTGTGTCACAGTCCTGAAGGTTAAAGCACACTCTGTGTGCCCCCTCAGGAACTGTAAGCCGTTAAATATGTCTGGGGCAGGGGGCAGGGGGTGGGAGTGGGGCGGTTATGTGGCAGTGAGAACGGATAGGGGCAAGACCACTCATGAGTGAGTGAGTGAGTGAATGAATGAGTCATTGAGTTTAGAAGTACATAGTTCTTCCCTAGCATGGTTTTCCCTCACCAATTCGACTCTGGTTTTTTTCCTCTGCACCTTCTTCATGAGCAGGTTGAAATCTCAGTTAATATCCTCCTGCTCTGAGAAATCTCCCATCGCAGGGAGGAAAGGAGATAATTAGCTTCAGTGTTCTCTCATATTTAAGCTGAGAAGTCAGCATGAATTCTAGACATGGTTCATGTAGTTGGATAATCAGCACAGATGTTCATGATAGGTAACTCTCTTTTTTCCTTCCTTCATATCTTTTTTCATTAGGGTACCATGACTGAAGATTAATGGCTTCCATTATTTTTTTGCCTTCATGCGGGAATCTTTAAACTAGCCTGAACTTTGTACCAACTATCATATGAATCATGTCTGCTACAATTACCCGTTTCTGTGTCATTACCTAGGTTAGCGTCCTGGTGTGACACACTGAATGCAGGGCTGGGTTAAAAGTATCAGATGAGGGGCGCCTGGGTGGCTCAGTTGGTTAAGCATTTGCCTTCGGCTCAGGTCATGATCCCAGGGTCCGTGGATCAAGCCCTGCATCGGGCTTCTTGCTCAGCGGGGAGCCTGCTTCTCCCTCTCCTTCCTGCTCATGCTCTCTCTCACTATCTCTGTCTCTCTCAAATAAATAAACAAAATATTTTTAAAAAAGTGTCAGGTGATAACTAGGCAGAAAACTGACAATTAACAGTGATTGACATGCCTCCTTGAGTTGTTATCTTGCAGGCCTGAAGACAAAAATCCTATTTATAAATATTACCCAAAATGAGCTATGTGATGTTAGATATATTTCAGCATATCTAGCTGTTGAGTAATTCACCTCCATGTTCACTATTGTGTACGCTTATTGCAATGAACTTGATAATGAACACTCACCGTGTAAGAGGCTTAGTTCTCAGCAGGCATTGTCTGTTGAATCTTCACCGCAGCCCCAGGAGGTAATGACTGTTTGTGGTACCATTTTACATATGAGGAAAGCGAGGCATACAGCTGTTAGGTAATTTGCCCAGGGTCCACAGTTAAGAGTCAGAGCTGGTATTTGAACCCAAGCGGCCCAGCTCAGAGTCTAGGCTGAGAACCTCCATGTTACAATACTTACAGTTAGCTTGAAACAAAGAGGTGGTTTTAGTATCACATATTAGGAATGCACATTTTTCTCTTACTAAATGTAAGCAATTGCCATTTTTTGGTATATGTAGTATCATGTGGAGTTTGAAAAACTTTGACAAACAGTAGGGCCAAAGAACAATTGACCCTTCTTCTGAGATCCTGTAACCTAGAAGATGAGTTTTGACTATGTATGAGTGCAAAAGTTTATTGGCTTATGCTAATTTTAAGTGTAATATGTTTTTAGAATCTTATTTGTATGTGTCTATACATTCATGTTCTGAGGAGAGGCTGAATTTAAAAAAAAAAAAACAACAAAAAACAAAAATGTAGGCTCCATCACTTCATTGGTTAAAGCTCCTGTCTTTTAGAACAACAACAAAAGCCACTAACCACAAATTCCCATGTGCCACGAGCAAATTTGAATTTGAGATCCAGGTGCCCAGATAAAGCGTTATGTTACCTGAACCGAGAACATGAGCTTCATCCCAGTGATCACCACAGACTTAAATTTCTAGTACCCATGCCTTCTTATTTATATGTAAATTTTGTTTTTTGCTTTGTTAAAGCGAGACAAGCCTTGCTATCACTTTTCTAAGCAACTATTTCTCTTTCAGTTTACATCTTAAGATGCTGGCTCTACGTGTCAGCATTTGAGGTATTAGCACTTGCCAGTCAGCAAACTGGTCCCAAGATCTAGGGTACCTTGAGGCAGAGTCCAGCACTATGAAAAGAACAGGGCTTTCTATCCACATTACCTGGAGTGGCTTAATAGCGGGTCAGTGTGAACCGAGGTGGTGGGTCTGAGCGTTTCTGATGCTTACCTCATGAGTGACTGCTTTGGCTACATAAACCACAGAACCAGACAAATTAGGTTATGGAAGTAGAAATCATTCTTGGCCCAGGTTGAGGGACACTTTTTGGTCAACCGTAGCTGCTCTGATATTTGAGATTTGCTGACAGCTCTCAGTTCAGAAAAAGGTTTGCATTCCTGAGCTATTTTTCTTTTATCGGGATCATCTTAATTCTTGTCTGTGAGGTTGTGATCAAGGAAATGAGTAAGACCTGAATTCAGCTGTTTGGGTGACCCTTGAATACCATGAACTTCTTAGACAGTGCCTGATGTCCTAGCCAACACTAATTGGTGGTGATGACAGAAGAGAGGGTCCCTAGCCGGAACCTGCTGATAGAAACCCTGATGAGTTGAGAAGCATGGTTGCTAGAAGCAGACTCTAACACATGGCACTGACCTCTCGAGGCAAAAGAAGATGATTGTACTGGTATGTGTATTTTGTAGTTTCTTCCTCCTTGGCATTGTTGTTAAGAGGGCAAAGAAACAAAGGTAAACAGCATGATCAGCTCAAGTTGGATCACAGGCAGCACTTTCTTTGTTACAGCATAAGGGTTTCACTGCTGTGCGAGGGCTCCAGCTAGGAAGTATCTAAAGCCACCCAACATTGCCAAGTATAGGTAACACATCTCAGGCTATCACAGTTGATTAAAGTTTCAGGAGGGGATGGCAGTGCAGAAAGCTCCCATCATGAATATGTTTTGGGGCAAACATTACCTATGAACAGATGAACAACTTTGAGTTGAATCAAACAAAATGTTTGACTGTTGGGGGTCAGTCTGTAGCTTAGCTGTATGCTGACACAGAGAATGTATAGAAGCTGTGAAAGCCTCTAACTGAAAGACTTGCTAGATGCTTGTTGGCCATTGTCTTGGGTGGTGAGATGGTTATATTCAAAGTTTTTGGAGGTGAGGTCCCCCCCCCGGGAAATGTTGGGACAAATACATGTGAAATGACTTAGGGGCCTCAGTTTAGGGTATTCTTGGCCTGATCTGTTGACAGTTGGAGATCTGGACATTGGACTTGGAGGGGATTTGAATGGAATTTTATTAAGGGGATAGGAAACAGGGAGTTCTGTGTGTTGAGGATTCAGTGACAATATTAACTTAAGGGCCTGCTTTCCATGTTAGACTAGATAATCCACGTTATCTTAGAGTAAAGGGAACAACAGTTTCAGCAACTGGCTTCCTTAGCAATTTTGGTTCTCACCTAGCCATCATAGGCAATAGCACTGTCAAATAAATAAAGGTTTAATAAAATAAAATAAAAAAATTTGCGCTGAGGAGAAATATTCTTCCCTGGCCAGTCACAAATTGGACAATTCAAAGGCCAAACCTTGAGGGTGGGAATTGCCAACGGATGATTTTTCTGTTCTCTGTGTATCGGTGTGTTTTTCTTCTTGGTGTCAAATCTCATGTTGAATTCAGTCAATTATCTGCAGCAAACAAAAAGTGCATAAATGTCTCTTTTCTTCCTGTTGTTTGTATTTTATGACTAAACAAAGTGAGTCTCCCTTCCCCACTTTTTCCTTTGGGAACACATAAAACTGACATGATCTGAAAATTCAGAGTCTGTTGTCACTTGGAATGCATGATGATTGATTTCGTTCTTTAAAAGTCTATTACAAAGCTTTGTTGTTGTTGTTGCTGATGTTACACTTGGAACAAAACTGGTTGAAGACAGATGATTTGCTGAGGATTTTGACACATTTGTCATTAGGTGAAGTATGTCAAACATCTAAGGCTGTGGTGTTTGGATTATGTGGAATGTCAATTCTCCCCCCCCCCCTTCTATTTTAGTCACTTTACAAATGTTTCCCACAGATCCTTTAATAACTACAAATTTAGAAGTTTGGTATAACAAGTCGTTGCTGTAACTAACACTTCGGAATGTAATGGGGACTAGGGAAAACATCGCCAAGGAAACAACAGGGCCACGGGAGCTCTGTCAGCCCTGATTCCGTTCTCTGTCCCTTCAGTCCTACCACGGTACACACTGCTACGTTCTCAGGTGGCCTCAGTGCCAAGGGCCAGAGGAACTGAGCAGTAAGTTATCGTCCCAGTTTACGCTCTGAGCACTGTTATTTCCTCTGAGGTAGGAAAAACATTTTATTGTGCTCACGAAATGCCTCTCCTCTCCTCCCTGCCTCAGCGCCCTTTATCCTGGTTTCTGTAGGTGGGTGGGTGGGAGGGCAAAAACGCTGCCCGTGTGAAAAGGTAGGGCTAAAACTGTTCTGGAGAGTGATCTCTCTCTCTCCACAGCTGATCATTTTGGTTTCACGTGTGTTTCAGGTACATGAAGCCTCCCCCTCCACAGACTTCATAGCAAACAAATGATGGTATAAAAGATGAGAGTGGCAACAGGTAAAATAAAATGGGAGCACCCCTTGTTGCCCAAGGGACTTCATGTATATAATTTTGACTCAGCCTTACTCCTCCTAAAAATAAAAAGGTGAAAATTACCTCAGGCTTTGCTGCCGTAGCTGTCCTTGGCTTTCTGTGGGGGTAGCTTAGTCTTTGAATGCAGGCGCGGTTGGGACGGCCAAGCTGGACAAGCTCTCGCTCCAGATCTCGTCACATTTTTCCAGGTCATCTGCCCTCCTTCCCTCTGACAGCGAAGCTGTGATTTTTCTCTGGCCTTGCAGGGAAAAGTGATTCCGGATAAGCAGACGATTGTGTGGAATAGCTCATCCTTGGTCTAGTGCAGCCCTTTCAGCGCTCCAGAGCCAGTTGGACTTGTTATGAGGAGCTAAATGATTGGCTGGATCTGGGGCTCAGTTTCATGAATTATAGCCCCGTGTATGAGAAGCACGAGTCCTATAGTTGCTGTAGCCCAGGGGCCTGCTAGTTCCTGCTTTAACGCATATGTAGTCCTAACTGAGTTCTAACACGGCCTTGGATGTTTCTGTCCTAAATAGCTGACATTGCATCTTCAAGACTGTGTGAGTAATCCTGACTCTCTCTCTCTCTCTCTCTCTCTCTTTTTTTTAAACTCAGTAAATTAATTACATGCCCCGAGAGGGAGTGATTGTAATTAGAAAATACTGACTTAGCGGATGATTCATTTTCAAGGTGCTGTACGATGTGTATCAAGTTCAGTACAATTAATCTTAAAGCTTGTGAGATCCGGCAGGCTTATTCGAGCTTTGTGCCACAGGTCAGAGGCGAGCTGCCTTTTCAGGGAGGCTGTTCGGTGCATTTGCTCGCCCTGTTTGCTTGACAGGGTCAGTGAGGTGATAAAGGTCCAACACGAGCAGGTTCAAACAGGCTGCTGGTGTCAAAGCAGCGGCTGAGAGAACACTGGAGTCTGGCGAGTTCCAAGATTGCCCACCCCCACTGCCCCAACCCGTGAGGGAACAGCAGATGTTAGCAGTCCTTTTGGGGACACAGGAACACAGCAGTTAGAGCACAGAGGAAGGAGAAATGTATGATTATGGCAAATACTTTTCTTCACTGTCCTCTGAAGCTGACTTAAGACGAAATCTGTGGATAACTGGAACATTTTCATATGTACAGAAATGCTTCGTGGTGGTTCTGTTTCTGTGGCGGAGAGCTGAATGAGAAATCCCTAGCTTGTTTTTAAAAGCCTTAACACAAGTACATTAAATACACACAGACATAACCGTAACAGAAGAAAGTATGTGGATTGGAATGTGTGGTTGAAGCAGATCAAATTATCCCAGGGAAGCCGTTGTTAGGTTTGTATAATTGGGGTGGGGTGCGGGGGGTGACTTCGATTGCTGACAAGGTTTAAGAGAAAGCTGGAGCGGATTAAAATGAGAAAGGAGAAAACATCGGTGTTGTACTACTTTTTATAGCATACACTGTAGTTAATACTGAGTTAATACTCCGTAGTTAACATGGAGTTAATACTGAGTATCAACTGGTCAGCATAAGCCGTTTACTTTATACTTTTAAATCATTATTGATTTTCCCACCCTTCCCTTAAAAAAAGGGCTTTTGCCTCTGAAGTTAGTACTTAGAAATAATTTTTCTTCCTTTCCCATAATTTTTATACTTTTTCTCAATACAGCACAAAACTAGGTAATTGATAATTTGGGGTTGTTTTCTAGTTTGCTTTTTGACTAATTTTTCCCTCTTTAGACTTACAGATACAAATGTGGGTATTTGTCATATGTATAAACCTCGAGCGTAAACCATTTGAACAGTTTTTTTTTTTTAAATCACGGGTTCCTGTGGCAAATAAAACTTCCAATTGCTGTAGTAATTACTTGCCAATTCCTATAAAAATATTATTTATATACTCAAGAGCAGTTTATTTTTGGTTGTAGCTATTTAAATGACAGACATGATTTAGCCAGTAAGCGAGGAATGTTAGTTGTGTTTTTGCAAAATGTTATGTTTAGATCACACTGAAAATGCAAAGTTTTGTTAAAAATATTTTCACCTGCTGCAATTTGAGCTCTTAGGTCACACCAGTGGATGAGGTTCATAACAGGCAAGAAAAATCATCAACCCAGAATCCTTTTTTATATCCACCAAATGCATATAAAAACAGTTTTCAATAAAAGCAGTTTTAATATATTCTTTGAGAAACACATTTACATTATGAAGACACGGTCTGAGTTCCATTATCGAGATAGAATAGTGAGTTCATTTCTTGAGTTTCCGTAGCCATAGACACTAATACTAATAGTTGATTTGCTCGTTGTTCTACATTCCTCACTGACTGTATTAGCGGAAGAAAGTGGTGCATCTATGGAAGGAAAGGAATCTCATCCCTCAGGGTGGTTCGGGTCCCATCTAGACCAAGAAGTGGTAGGGGTGGAAATTGCTGACCCGGCTTCTGACTTCCAAAATGGCGCCCCTTCTTGTGATAGGGTCCCTCCCACCTTTTCCTGCCTTCATTCTTTATGTTAACGTGCTTGGGCTCTTGTGAAGATGAATCAAATAAAAATGATGGATGCTTAATTATCAAACTTTAAAAAAGCCACGCTTGGAATTCAGACGGTATTTAGAGCAGGTGTTGAGGGCTCTGGGAAATAGTGCTGTGTGTATACCAGGAGTATTTACATCTTGCGTTGGCACTGTCTGGAGGACTTTAATCTCCTCAGTTCTCCTTGAGATGCCAGGCTCACATCTCCTTCTTGGGAGAGGGCAGGATATTAAGAAAAGCAAGGGTAGAGTGTTGCCAGGTGCCCGGTGGACGTAGGGCTGTGAACAAGGCAGTGTGAGGAAAGGAAATCTCTCCAGCACAATGGTAGCCTCTCCTTCTTGTCTCCACTCCTGTTTATTTTCTAAAGCCATTTTTGTCTGACCATGGAAATTCTTTTCCAGATAAGGTTCTGTAAAACTTTGCATATCTGCCATAGACAGATGGATTTGACAAAAGATGTATCCAAAAAGGAATGCATTACATTATGATTTGCAAAGTGTTCATGAATACACACTGGCATTTGGAAACTATTAACACTACCTACTAAAGCAATGGCATAAATCCAAATTAAAAAAAAGAATTTCTTGATTGAATTACATTTTCCACCATTAGCTGGTGAATTTTGCTTTTGGAATGACTTGATCTTCTCTAAGACTTTTTTTTCCATTGGTATATATAGTACTAATCTTATTGCTTAATATTGCCCAAGAATTTAATTATTGCCTGTTGGCATTTTCCAAAGAGTTGCTGTTACACCTTGATTATGTTTTAAAGGAAGCAGAACAAGACAAATAAAGCACCCCCCCCCCCCCCCACCCCCACTGCATCAGATACACCACAAAGAGTTAAATGCCTTAGATTTGCACAACACTCTTGTGGAGCTCAACACTACCCATTGGTAGGGGAGGAGATTTCATATACTCTAAAAGCAATTGTTCCAAAAATATAATGTGTGCTGGTGATGTAATTTCCATTGTATTGGTCACTAGCAAGATTGTGTCCCTCCAATTTCAAGAGGCCTAATGGCTTAGTGAAATAATCTTGTAGTCAGTGAGCTCATGCTCAGGTCATTAAATTTTTCCAAGCCTCAGTCTCTATGTAAAATGAAAGTGATGACGTATGTCCTGCTATTTTACTGTACTGGTGAGTATCAGCAGCATGATGAGAAAGTGTTTGTGAAAGTATGTTTTAATTCTTTGTATATTACAATGTGTCATGCATCTACACATTGATAGTATTACAGATGCTCCTTCACTTCTTAGCGCATGTTCCCAGTACTGGGGAAATACTTTTTAAAGCAAAGCACGTCTTTGCTCTTTAATCTTGAAATGTTACAAAGGCTTTTAGCGACTCAGTCCTCATCTGTCAGTTACTTGAGTATTGATACTACTGTGACATGTAATGTGGTATTGTATATGAGACCATCTTTAGTAAACTCCTAAGTGTTATATGAATGTTACTTAAGATAACTGTTCTTATCAGCATAGTAATAAAAGTATAAATTACCAATTTTTAAAAGGGAAAATATCAGACACGTTTCTTACTGATTTGTTTGACTACTTTTCTGAGCTGTGTCTGCTTCCCTCACCCAGGATGGGTTTTCTTGCTGGTTAAGCGTGTGTGGTGATTTTCTTTCCACTTAGATACAGCACTAAGCCAGGAGTGAGATAAGCCATCCTTCACCATGTACATTTAGAATTGCTAATGATGAAGTGTGAGAGGATGTAGCTTCCTTACAGGAAAAAGTGAGTTAGGAAATTCAGACTGACAGATACTCTTGGACTTTTTATTCCTGTCTTGACTTGCCTTACTAAATTGAAGTAATGGAATAATTATGTAGGTTTTAAAGTATTGCTTTTCCCAAGAATACAATGAATGGTCAGAATGACTTTCTGAACAGTTCAGAAAGGTCAGTGGGTAGTTTGAAACGCCAAATTTTTATATAGTTCTACTTTGGATGGTCATCTTGCTTTTTGAGTTATTGTCCACAGCTGTGTCCTACACTTCGGCCTCTTGAGCTCTCTGTTGTGATGCGTGTAATTATTTCCCAGCAGTTAATATTGGTTAGTTTGAAGCACTTCGACAGCCTGTAGAACCCTTGTTTCTCTTTAGATGAGATTGAACAGGGAACACAGTAAGTGGTACAAATAGGAATGGAATGGATCCTCTCCCACCTTTATCCCACGAACTCCGCCCAGCATTTCATGAGGGAACTTCCTAGAAACGAAGGAATTTCATTTGTAGGAGAGTTTGCAAGCTGTTAACTGGGATCATTGTCCTGACTTTCTTGTGCCTTTGGTGATTGGATAAGAGTACTCTTTAATAATGTAAATAGTAACGAAAGAATGTTTTTTAACTTCTCATATCCTCCCAGCTTTATTGAGATAAAAGTGACATACGATACTGTATAACTTTAAGCTGTACAACCTATTGATTTGATACACTTAATAGGTTGCAAAATGATGCACTTGTATCATGTGACATAATTAGGTTTTTTTTTTTTGTGGTGAGAACACTTAAGATTTATGCTCTTAGCAAATCTCAAGAATGTAGTACAATGTTATTAAGTATAATCACTATGGTATACTTTAGATCCCTGTAACTTATTCATGTTATAACTGTTAGTTTGTACTCTTTGACCAGTATCTTTCCTTTTCCCTCACCCCCTGGCCCCTGGCAACCACCATTCTACTCTATTTCTATGAGTTGAGCATTTGTGGATTCCACACATAAATGGGACCATACAGTATTTGTCTTTCTCTATCTGCCCTCAAGTTCATCTATGTTGTCACTAAAGGCAAGATTTCCTTCT